AAAAAGGACTTCAGAGGTCACGTTGTTGTATATTTATTGACTACAGGAAGACAAACTGTCTACATAAAACAGTCATGGCCACAAGAACAGAGTGTCTGCAAATCAAGATCAACCCCCTAGTTTATTAAGAGTTTAACATTTTAGTTGAAATAAAACTAACTTAAGAAAATGAGTTTCTATATATGTTGAGAATCACTAGCATTTCACACAGCAAGAAGGCAACGAAGTCATCTATACAGATGCCACTCCTCCTTCTGATCTTCTTTGTAAAAAGAAATTCTTCCAACTGTCACAGAAATTGTGTTTTTTAATAGACTTCATGGATTCAATTTATTACTGTGTCATACCTAAGTCCTCCAAAGTGCAGTTTACATTTCTTTTCTCTGATTTTGATTGCCAGTCAAAACAAAGAATTATTTATCAGTCAAAAGTACTAAATGTCTAAGAGGCTAAAGACATTAACCCTGACAAGAAAGTTCTCCATTTGAAACACTCCAGTCTATATCTAAAGGCCCGGAATATAGTAGGAATCACAAGACTATTCAAACCAACAGTGGCAGCAGTCACTGATAGAAATCCCTTTGTCCATGGGCCTCAGATAATCATGCCACTTATGACATTAAATAAAACTAACAATGTAAGTACTGAGGTAGGAGTCCAGCAAGTAGGTAGTTTCTCTTATAAATAGGTTTAACATATAGATAAGTGAGCTTCATTTAACCTAATAGACAAATTTCTAAGACGATGAACGTAAATCTCTACAACTTGGATATATGAAAATTATTTAAACATAGTCATCAGTTTTGCTGCCCTGTTAGCTGAAAATAATTAAAAACCAATTGCAGCAGTGCATCAATAAAGACTTGTCAGAAAATCAAGACAAACAGATAAGAGGACATGGAATGAGGAATACCTTTGCTGATGTCAAATGGATCTTGACTGAAAGCAGTGAAAAACAGAAGGATGTTTACTTGTGCTTTATTGGCTAAGCAAAGATACTCAACTGAGTAGATCATAACAAACTATGGGTAACATTGTGAAGAATGGGTATTCCAGGCACTTAAATAAGCTCATGAGAGATCTATACATAGACCAAGAAGTCTTTTGAACAGAACAAGAGACTACAGCATGATTTAAAATCAGGAAAGGTTATGTGCCAGGGTTTATCCTTTCATCATATTTATATAGTCTGTATGCTGAGCAAATAATCCAAGAAGCTAAATTATATTATGAAGAGTGTAACATTAAGATTGGAGGAAGACTCATTAAAAACCTGTGTTATGCAGATGTTGCCATCATGCTTCCTGAAAGTGAATACAACTTGAACTATTTACAGATAAAGATCAAGGACAATAGTCTTCAGTATGGATTGTACCTCAATATATAGTAAACGAATGTCCTCATAACTGGACCAAAAATTGAAATGATAAATGGAGAAAAGATTGAAGTTGTCAAAGACTTCGGTTTACTTAGCTGCACTATCTCAGAAGCAGCACTCAAGAAATCAGATGATATGGGCAAATCTACCGAAAAGACTGATTTAAGTTTCAAGAGCAAAGATGCAGTTTGAGAACTAAGGTGCATTTGACCTAAGCACAGTATTTCAAATTGCTTCATATGAATGTGAAAACTGAAGAGTGAATGAGGAAGACCATAGAAGAATCACCACCACTCGTCTGTCAGTTTGTCATACTGTGGTGGCGTGCATGTTGCAGTGATTCTGGGAGCTATGCCACCAGTATTTAAATAACAACAGAGTCATCCATGGAGGACAGGTTTCAACTGAGCTTCCAGACAAAGACAGACTTTGGAATATTTAGTCACTGACAACTTGATGAATAGCAGTGGAACACTATCAGAGAGCACAAGAATACTGAATATGGAAACATGATAGAGTACCAGTATACTGTCAGATACAGCGCCAGAAGACAAGGCCCTCAGATTGGGGGCACTCAGTATACGAATGGGGAAGAGCTGCCTCCTCAAAGTAAAGTTGACTGTGATGCACATACGGTATAAAGGTTTCATTTGCTGATGGGGCACAACTCAAAATGAGGAGAAACAGCTGTAAACATCCATTAATAATTCAAATATGGAATGTACAAAGTATGACTCTATGGAATTTGGAGAAAAAAAATTTCTGCTCCCATAAAAATTTACAGCCTCAGAAACCCTATACAAGATCACTGTGAGTAGGAACCAACTTCATGGCATAGAACACCACCACCACAAAATTATCACACACTGGCAGTTTTTTGCACTGTGGTAACTTGCATGTACAGGAGCTCTGGTAGCATAGTGGTTATGAATCAGGCTGCTAACCTCAAGGTTGGCAGTTCGAAACTACCAACCGTTCCACAGGAGAAAGATGAGGCTTTCTGTTCCTGTAAAGATTTACAGCCTCAGAAACCCAGTGCAGGGTCACTATGAGTTGGAAACGACTACACGGTACTTAATAACAACAACCTTGCATGTTGCTATAATGGTGGAAGTTATGCTACTGGTATTTCAAAGTTATGCTACTGGTATTTCAAAAAGGAGCTCTGGTAGCGTAGTGGTTACGAATCGGGCTGTGAACCTTAAGGTCAGCGGTTCGAAACTACCAGCTGCTCTGCGGGAGAAAGATGAGGCTTTCTACTCCCGTAAAGATTTACACCCTCGGAAACCCTGTACAGGGTCGCTATGGGTCGGACCCAACTCGATGGCACATAACAACAACAACAACAAAACAACAAAAAAGAAACCTCTCTTTCTTCCACCAAATGAGCCCTTACTTACTGACTTTTCTATTTCTCATAAAGATTAAGATTTTAAATTCTCTTGTCAAGTCTATCCCTCTTTAATTCACACAATCCAACTTTTTGTTAAGTCATCTACAAGATCTTCCATCTTTGTTTTTTTTCTCCTTTCCAATTCTTTACACATGGAAGCAGCAGTCAAGATATGACTCTCTCATTTTCTGTCTGTTTTAGAAAATGGTTAATGTTCATTAAGATGTTTTTTATGTTTACATATGAATGTGGTATCATAATTGTTCTCTAAAAAGCACAAGGAAGCTTCAAAAAGTTTCTGGAAAAATTATCTTTTAATTCCATTTTCCATGAACTTTTTGAAGCCCCCTAACATAAGGTATAAAAACATAAAATTTTTATAAAAGTTTCCATTTTAAATTTAAGTATGTTAACCATTGATAAACAAAATTTACATTAACAAAAGCACTTAATGTTCACAAAAAATTTAAGAGAATAAGTGGTCTTTTTAACCAAGCAAATTGAGGAATGGTCCTGGTAGGATAAGCACTGGTCTGCTAACAGCAAAGGTGGAGGTTTGAACCCTTGGGTCACTATGTGTCAGGGCTGACGTGATGGCACTTAACATCAACAACAGCGTCCAATGATTAGTGATATATTTGGAGAGAACAATCTTGATCAAAAAAATGAAACACACCATTTATTTTAAAGAGGATTATGATATTCTTATCAATGGAGAAAAGATTGAAGTTGTCAAGGACTTCATTCTTCTTGGATTAACTATCAACACTCATGGAAGCAGCAGTCAAGAGATCAGACGATGTATTGCATTAGGCAAATCTACTGCACAAGAGCTTTTTAAAGTTTTGAAGAGCAAAGATGTCAGCTTGAGGACTAAGGTGTGCCTGACTCAAGCCATGGTATTTTCAATAACCTCATATGCATGCAAAAGCTGGACAGTAAATAAGGAAGACCGTAGAAGAATTGATGCCTTTGAGTTATGGTGTTGGAGGAGAATACTAAAAGTGCCATGGGCTGCCAAAAGAACCAATAGATCTGTTTTAGAAGGAATGCAGCCACAGAGGCCAACCAATATGGCCAAACTTCTTCTCTCATACTTTGGACATACTGTCAGGAGGAAACAGTCGCTGGAGAAGGATATCATGTTTGGTAAGTTGGAGGGTCAGAGAAAAAGAGGAAGATCCCCAACGAGATGGATTGGCCAGGTGGCAGCATTGATGGACTCAAGTGTGGCAACAGTAGTGAGGTTGGCCCAGGATCGGACTTTGTTTCATTCTGCTGTACATAAGGTCACTATGAGTCAGTGTCAACTTGATGGCACCTAACAACAACAACATCACGTTAAGGTTTACTTAGCCACGGTGTGGTTTTCTTGCTTTGATGATTTAAAAGAGACACCGTGTTATGCCTCTTTATTGTCCTTACATTAATAAAGTTCACCAATAAAGCAGTGTGAAAAGACTAAGTGAACACAAGATGCGCAGATAACTGTCATACATATACGCTGCTATTCTTCCATCTGTCATAACATACCTCTAATATTACTGAACCATAAAGTAGTTTTCCATGGCTCTCACCAAACTTTTGAAGCTAGGTATCACCTATGTAGTGAGCACACAGAACTCTGCTCCCCTTCTCCTATATATCCCTTTTGTTACTATATTAAGTTATCCATTTGATTACAACCTATAATTTCCCTATTTATTATATTATTTTTGGTCTACTACAAATATAAGTTAAACAAGGATAGGAATTTTTTTTTTTTTTTCTGTTTTGTTCACTGATGCATCTATAGCACCCAGAACACTACCTAACACAAAACAGCACATCAATATTTGTTCAATGAATTTGTGGCTATGGTACTGAAGGAAAATACAAATTCTAGCCTTTCACTAAAGGAAAACAAACAGTTATTAACAAATGAACACCAGCAAACATCCAGTATACATATACAGGTTGGACCCAGTAGCTGAAGGAAAAACTCTAAATAATTCCATGATAATGAAGACCTCTTGGGCTAATCAGTTTTCTCTCCTAGATGCATAAATGAAGACAAACATGGAGGCAACAAACAACAAAAAAGAAAAGAAAACAGACAGTGGTTTTGCACTAGTCAAAACCAAAGAGGGGAGACTCAGATGGAGGATCCTTTACAAGTGCGAAAGGAGGACCCTGGGAAACAATGCGCATAAACTCAATTACATAAGACTAAGAGTAGCCAATACACACCTCGCTTCTCTTGATGTATTTCTTCCAGAAGTTGCTCTTGCCTCTCTATCTGTTCAAAGAGATACTGGAGCTCAGACTCCTTATTTTCAGTCAGATCCTTGATTTGCTGCCTACACAGCATCAGTTGGTGCCGTAGATTTTTCTCTCTGTTTTCTCTCTCTTTCAGTTCCTCACAGAGCCACTGAAGTTTAGTCTGAACAGAAAAATTTATTTCAATTAAATGTTTTTAAAGTCAAAAAGAAAGTAGCATTACAAAACGCAAAAAGACAATGAAGTAACATCACGGTAACTTGAACAAATATTGACAATAACTAGAAAATTTAAGGAAAACAAAAAATAAGACTGTTTAAATTTACACTCTGATAATACATTAGGTAAATGTTGGGGCGGATATGAAGCTATGATTTTCTTGGGTCCTGAAAACACATTTGGTAAAGGCTAACATTTTGGAAAGATAGTAGAAAAGAAAAGCTTGTTGACTAAACTCCCAATTCTGGATTTCTTCTGTCTTATTAAGATCTTCAAAATGAGAATGTATTTAATGAATGATGTCATAAACATTATGCTAGAGAGTATCACTAGTAAACTGAGACAGGAGTCAGTTGGAAAATAATTCCAAACCCTTACTCCTTAAGTCATTAATTTAATTGATAGTAACTTGGCAAAGCTGGGCAGTGAATAAGGACGACTGTATAAGAATTGAAGCATTTGAGTTATGATGTTGCAGAAAAATATTAAATGTACCATGGACTGCCAAAAGAACAAACAAATCTGTGTTGGAAGAAGTACAGACAGAATGCTTTTTGGAAGTCAGGATGGCCAGCCTTTGTCTCTTATACTTCGGACATATTCTTAGGAAGTGTCCTGGGAAGGACATCATGCTTGGCATGGCATCTCAGAGTATCTGAGAAAAAAAGGAAGACCCTCAACAAGATGGATTGGGAGAATGGCACAGCAATGGGCTCAAGTGTAGCAATGATTGTGCGTTTGATGCAGAACCAGGCAGTGTTTCGTTCTGTTGTGCATAGGGTCACTATGAGTTGGTACTGACTTGATGGTACCTAGCAACAACAAAAACTTGGTCAAACAAGAGGATGTCTACGCTATCATCTCCTGCTTCTATATTAAAACTAAAACATGAATAGATAGATTACACCTTTTCTTAAAAAAATTTTTTTTAAATGAATTGAGTGAAAGATTACAGACAAGATCATCAGTTTTACATTCAACAAATCACCTCAATGATTTATGCAACAATAGTTGTCCTGCTTCCTCCCTCTGGTTACCCATGTATAAATATCATCTTTCAAACTCTTATATATCTGTGGTATGTTTATACATATCCCACTCTTCCGCCCACATGCATTCAGCCTGTGACTGTCCATGTATCCACACACAGAACACTGTTGTTTCAAGGCTGTGTATATATCACTATTTACCTCTATCCCATTTATTTGTTGCATACCTCCCTGTGTCTTCACACATTTTTATCATTTTTCTGCCAACCTCCCTTTTCTTGTATACTGCCTTCCTCATCACCCACGTTAACATGTATCTACTTTCTATCCTCATACCTCTGGTAACCATCAATGAAGATTTCTTTTAGTATGAAAACCTATACTTGAGTTTTTACAATAGTGGTCTCATACAATATTTGTCCTTTTGTGATTGACTTATTTCACTCAGCATAATGTTACAAATCAGGCTGTGAATCTTAAGGTCAGCAGTTCGAAACTACCAACTGTTCCGCGGAAGAAAGATGAGGCTTTCTGCTCCCGTAAAGATTTACAGCCTCGGAAGCCCTTACAGGGTCGCTATGAGTCGGTTCCGACTCCATGGCACATAACCACCACCACCAGCAATGTTCTCCAGGTTTATCCATGTTAAGAGTCATTTTGCAGATTCGTCATTATTATTTAACATTGCATAGTATTGCATTGTATGTATCAAAGTTTGTTTATTCATCCTTTCATTGGTGGGCATTTAGGTTGTAATCATCCTTTTGCTATTGTGAATAGTGCTGTGATGAACATAGGTGTGCATGTATCTATTTGTGTCCTGGCTTTTACTGTATGGTGCTGTGGGAGAAAGCAATTGACTGCAACATCAGTTTGAACCACAGGCTTGGCAGTTCAAATTCACCAGCTACTCCTTAGAAATCCTACACAGGGTCACTATTAGTTGAAACCAACTCAACAGCATTTAACAATAAGGTACAACTGTTTCCAACCTTCTGAGGAAGCTCCACACCATTTTTCACAGTGGTGGAACCATTTTACAGTCCCATCAACAATGTAGGAGGGTATCAGCCTCTCGACACCCTCAACAACATTTGTTGTTTTCTGCTTTAGGAGCTTTGCTAATGCTGGTGTGAGGTGATATCTCATTGGTGGTCTGATTTGCATCTCTCTAATGGCTTGATTTTGGTAAGGTGGAGGTCAGAAAAAAGAGGAAGATCCCCAACAAGATGGATTGGCCAAGTGGCAGCATCTATGGACTCAAGCGTGGCAACAGTAGTGAGGTTGGCCCATGATCAGGCAGTGTTTCGTTCTACTGTGCATAACATTGTTATAAGTTGGTACCGACTTGATAGCACCTAACAACAACAACAACAATGGCTTGATTTAGTAGTCCTGGTGTGGCACTGTGGGTTAATGCTCTAGCCTGCAAAGTTGTTTGAACTGCAAGGTCAGTGGTTCAAGCTTACCAGCTGCTCCTCGGAAACCCTGTACAGGATCGCTATGGGTTGGAACCGACTTGACGGCACTTCACAACAACAACAAATGGCTAGATTTGCATCACTCTATGAACTTCTGGTGTGGCACTGTAGGTTCAGCACTGGACAGTGAACCACAAGCTGGGCAGTTCAAACCCACCAGCTGCTCCTTGGAAACCCTATACAGGGTTGCATTGAATTGGAACTGATTTAACAGCACTTAACAACAATAACGACAATGGCTAATGGGCTTCCTGGTGTGACACTGTAGGATAAACACTGGACTGACTCAAAGGTATTTAGCAAAAGTCCAGGCAATGGAGTGGATTATGAACTGGGTTGCTAACTGCAAGGTCAGTAGTTTGAATCTACTCAGCCCCTCTATATTAGGGAGTCCTAGTATGACACTGCAGAATAAATATTGGAATGCTAACCACAAGGCTGGCAGTTCAAACTCACCAGTTGTTCCACCGAAACCCTATACATGGTTGCTCTGAGTTAGAATCTACTCCAAGACACTTACTTAGCAGCAATAACGATGCCTAATGATTGTGGACATTTCTTCATATGTTTGTGGTCTGCCTGAATGTCTTCTTTGGTGAAGTGTTTTGTTCATGTCTTGTGTCCAGTTTTTTATTGGGTTGTTTTGTCTTTCTTTTTAATACAAAGATTATAGTTTTCTATAATTGTCAGAGATTAATCCCTTGTCTGATATGATGTTATCAACAATTTTTTCCCAGCCTGCTGGCTCCCTTTTTACTTCTTTTGATTAAATATTCTGATGCACCTAAGTGTCTACCTTTTAGGAGGTCTCAGCCATCTATTTTGTTTTCAGCTGTTTGTACATTTTTAGTAATGTTTCATAATGTATTTATGCCATTTATTAAAGTTCTAAGTTTTCTCTACTTTTTCACAGATGATCTTTACAGTTTTAGGTTTCTGTCATTCAATAGTTTGTCCATAAAATCCTTCAATATTGCAACACGAGGTTTTGCATTTTTCTTCAGTTCTTTCAGCTGAAGCAATGCTAAGCATGCTCTTCCCATTTTGTTTTCTAACTCCCTGTTTTTGCACATTTTATTACCATATTTTACTTTGTCTTCTCAAGCTGCTCTTTGAAATTTTCTATTCAGCTCTTTTACTTCCTCATTTCTTCCATTTGCTTTAGTTTCTCTATTTTCAAAAGTAAGTTCACAGTTTCTTCTGACATCTCTTTTGGTCTTTTCTTTCTTTTCTGTCCTATTAATAACCTTTGCATTTCCTCCTGTTTGATGTTCTTGATATCATCCTATAACTCCTTTGTTTTCAGTC